AATTTCTGCGACTTTGGTGGTATACAGTACCACAACGAATTGTATCTATTTGATAGAATTGCTGTTTAATAATTTATGCAGAAATCGTTCTAGTTATGTATGGTTTTACGTTCCTCTCTTAACTAACTATAAATCGAAGTTATAAATGAATATTTTGTACATTTTTCTTATCCTTTTCGGATGTTGCATGACATGCAAATTTACTCTTCTCGCAGTATTTTCTAAAAATTTCAGCTAAGCATTTCAAGCTTCTCATGTGAAACGAATCGTTTTAATGTTACGTTGCCCAAACGGAAAATTCGATAAATTATAACGTCTGTGCAACTGTGCCTTCCAGATTGGCGTAGCAATTTACTCCTGACAAGTTATTTTATTTATTTAACAAGTAAATAACTTTGACAAGTTATTTTACTATTATAACTATCGCGCGAATTCAGTCAAATTTATTATAACGTCGATGAAAGAAATATTTCTTGAGTAAAAAGCTGGACTCACGTGTCGTAATACACCTGAATACTGCTGTCCTTCACACCCTGCCCGACATAGTTATTTAAGGACATGATTATAAGATACAGTAGTACCAGACTGATAGAAAAAATAAGGTTTTCCATGTCTCTCATATTGTTAGTTGCTAGAAGAAGCTTTCGCACGCACGCGCACACACACAAAACTGTATTATTATGTTTCATTCGACAAAAGCATAGAGGCTCACCATGAATAATTCTTGGAATCTTCTTATTCACTTCTAATAATGCTTACACGGTTCAAAGCGACAGCGAATGAGGCGATAGATAATATGACAGCCAGTAAATACGAGATTGTGAACTCCTTCGATAGATATTGAACCATTCTTCGTTCACGAATTTGCAACGTTCAGAGGAGTTGGCCATCGATAGACGCGATATGCATAAAACACGTGATAATGTTATAAGGAATTTCATACCATTGTTACCGATGTATCCGTAAGAAGATACCAACTCAATAGCACGCCGGTGTACTTCCAGAAATGGTTCTAGCTCTATTGACTTTGAAATAACAGGATTTAGCACTTTGTTAACTGCATTCTCAATTCGGTAACTGAAAAAAATAACGATTCATCAATATTGTTAAAAGGCTATTGCTGAAGGCTTATAAGTTTCTATTAGTTTGGTCACTGATGTGCTTGTAGCATGCTGTTAGAATCGAAGACGCTTCAGGAGAATAGTAAGTTTAATTTAACTCAATTTAATTTAATAGTGATTAGTAATTTAAATCAAATTGTAATTTACATTAAATAGTAATTAGTGATTTAAATCAAATAGTAATTAAAATTAAATAGTAATTAGTAATTTAAATCAAATAGTAATTAGTAATTAAAATTAAATAGTAATTAGTGACTTAAATTCAACAGTAACTAGTAATTTAATTTAATAAGTCATTTAAATTCAATAGTAACTAGTACTTTAATTTAATAAGTAATTTAAATTCAATAGTAACTAGTAATTTTGATTTAATAAGTCATTTAATTCAATAGTAATAACCGGACAAAGCTTGGTGTAATTATAGACCATTGGATCACAATAAAATTTTTTTATAAGAAATAGCAAAATATTCTTCTCGACTAACTTCTTTCTGATTCTACTCAAAATCGAAATTGCCATAAAATTATACAAAATGTCACATAAAGAATGAATCAATGAATTTTGGAAGAAATTGTTTCACAAATACCTGGCGATCTCAAACAGTCCACAAAAATAGGCGGTGAATACAGCGAGTGACGATTCCGTACCTGCCACCGATAAGAAACTCATCACGGTTACTATTACGACGTGAAAACTGATCAAATCAGTTTTTTGGCCTTGCTCGCTCACGAAGAATCCATACATTCGTAAATAACCCACTTGGTATTTCGAATGAAGCAATGTAGAGACCATTAATGGTGTAATTGAGAAGACCGCCGACCCACAACTTATGACTAGAATTCGAAATGAGATCTTTTAGTCCGGTCCTTACATAAAATGTTTTCATTAACCGATTTCTGGAGAATGTAACACTATAACAAGGTTGAATCGAACATATAGAGACACTTGTACCATTTGTGAGATTAATTGAACGTGAGATCAACATTGAGATCATTTGAACGTTCAATAGTTGACGATATCAGATTCATAATATTTATATTGTAGAAATTACAAAATCAGATATTGTATTGCTACTTTTATTATATTTATTATCATATATTATTATATTATTATATAATATAATTATATATATAATATATATTATATTATATATAATAATATATAATATATAATAATATATAATTATATATATAATATATATTATATTATATATAATAATATATAATATATAATAATATATAATTATATATATAATATATATTATATTATATATAATAATATATAATATATAATAATATATAATTATATATAATATATATAATATTATAAATAATATATAATATACTATTATATTATTATTTATTATCATATATTTTTATTGCTACTTTTATCATTATCTTTACCTATATACATGAAGATTAATCTTCTTCCCTTTACCATGTGTCTCCTGAACATATCCAGTTCGACAGGATTTTTAAGTATGCTGAGGTTCTCTTCGTAATTTCGATACACAGTTTTTATCTAAAGCCACGTGGAAGCACAACATTATAATTATGAAAGTTGACAAGAAAAGAAAGGAACTGACGTGTTTTAGAACTTACCGTTGGAAAGTTGATCACAAAGCTAAGGTATCGTAAAAGACACAAGAATATCAGAACGCTATACGATAACGCGGTAGTTATATTGTACGACGTTAGTTCTACCGATCTTATCATTGACAGCTAAAAAATATTTCACGTGTATTTAGTATCGTAATTTAGTGGGTACGTTTAGGACGAGGAGGAGTGTTAGGCTTAGGTGACCGTAGTTTTAAGACTTTGTATTAAAAAGAGAAACGTTGGCGAAGGCCGGGTCAGATGAAAAAAAACCCTTGGCGACGGAGAGCCGGCGAATGCGATTGTCACGTTTTTAGAAAAGGCAGGCATTGTGTCGAAGGAGCGTGTTTGGAGTAGACAGAGAGTGTTCAAGAGTTGTCGAGTGAGGAGCGTTGCAAGTTGTAAAATTAAGTGAAGTAGTTGTAATCCTAGTTGTAGGTACGGTACGCGATATTTCCTGTCTTCATCACGTTTAGTCCTTTCCTAATCGATACAGATTCAATATTGTTTAAATATTGGACAATTTCTACATGTATTTAGTAATTTGAAATCTTTTTATACTGTAAATTCTCCCCAATTCGCGCTCAAATTGTACGCAAACATGTGCAATTTGGGAAAACGAGCCGCATGGCACGAATAATCGTATCTCCCCTTCTCAAATTGTCCATTTTTGTGCAGAAATTTGCTGTAGTATTTTTTGTGACAGCATTCGAACAGTTCGGTCCCTCGAATAATTACACAAATCGAACATCTGCATGAAATTGCCTGATATTTGCTGGCCAAGAAATGTTAACTTGCTTCGTATGTTTCAGTTCTAATAAATGGAACAACATACTTTTCGTTTATTCTTCAGGGGGCTACGCTTTCATAAACGTATTTCCGATGAAACTGGCCGCCTTTTTGTAAAAGAAATATCGGTAAAAAGATATGGTAAAATCTTGATCACCTGAATCCCTATAACCGAGAGATTGAGCAGGGTATAAGTGATTCTCCCGATCGTTGCTATCACAGATTTGTCGTATGGCCAAAGTGCGGTACAAGATAACAGCACGCTATAGGAACTGAAATTCTTCCGTATCATGTCCATTGTGATCGATGTTGAAGAACGTCTGCGCGAAGTCTTCGCGTAAGCGTTCGATTTCACCTCGGCTTCATACATTTCATTTATGCCGCCTCCTTTGCCGTTTACAAATTTAATTCAAAATGATCACATTCATGCCACATTATAAGCTCTCTCTCTCTCTCTCCCGAAATCGATCGATCTCTGCAAGCCACTGGAGGAAACGTTTAACGTTAAAAATGTATAACTCGTTCTGTTTCGGTGTTTGTTCTTTTCTTGTTTGCTCCCCCCAGAGAAAGAATAATATTTCTTTCCCTTGGCGAGATCGTTCAAATATTGTTCGAATATAAAGTCTCCCCACGAGAATTATATTCTTTATCGTGTACAACCGTCAGTGCAAGACAAGATTCCTTGCACTATTGAATGAAAATTATCGAGACTTCCGTATCGAAGTCATCCGAGCTGTTGCTGCAATGCTGAAGCAGCTGTACGATTTGAACTGTTAAAAGCTTAAATTATCTTTGAAAAGTTGCTGTTGGAATATTTAGTGACGAGTGTGACGGATGCAGTGTCCTACGGACTGACTGTTATGCATACAATTGGTATGATAGAAGAGCGTTCGACAGAAGAGACGAGGACATGTAAGTGCGAGGGTTCGTTGTAAGTTCTTTTATTGTTTTCATACATTTTACTTACATCACTAGCTGCTCTGCCAGCAATTTTTACTTTACCGTCTATGCTCTGCGACCAAGCTGTTGTGGATCGCACGCACCGTGGAAGCAATAATTGCTATACGAGCCGTTTATTTTGAAAGTGGCATAAGTCACTTTACCGTAATGAAAAGTGGTGATTTTTTAATGTTTATACGAAATTATATAAATAATTATATAAATAATTTCAGGGTATATAATATATAATTTATTTATATAATTAATTACAATTAATTATGTAAATAATTTCGTATAAACATTAAAAAATCACCACTTATCAGTATAAACTGAGAAAAATATCAGTATCTGAGATAACAAATACAAGTAAATCGTCTCGAAAGTAGGCATCCATATTTTTAAACGTGTTAAAACGCAAACCCTTAAATATATCGACTTAAAAAACAAAGTGACCTATGCCACTTTCAAAATAAACGGCTCATATATGGTCATCTGGCAGCTATCACGACACGGGGTAATATTCTTTACGTTCTATTACGTTCAATAACAAGCGGAATCGTATTATAAATCCTTTATTATATCAAATCTACGATCATTTTACATGCTGACCGTTTGCGTGTGTTTGAGATCATAATGGCTGAATACTAACAAAATGTTGCGGTTTTATTACGATGCATTTCATTCGGTGTTATCGACACATAATTTGTTTCCGTTCGAAATTGGGCGAAAGTTAGGAATCGTATGAGACGAAATAAGTTACGATCAATTTGGAGGACGTTTGCTGACCGATCTGAAACGAAGAGAAAAAAACGTTTTAATTTTCTAGTGTGCATGACACCTTGTGTGTAACCTTGACATATCAAGGTTATATCAAGGACATGTCAAGGTTATTTCAAGGTTATTTCAAGGACATATCAAGGTTATGTCAAGGACATATCAAGGTTATGTCAAGGTTATGTCAAGGACATATCAAGGTTATTTCAAGGACATATCAAGGTTATATCAAGGACATATCAAGGTTATGTCAAGGACATATCAAGGTTATTTCAAGGACATATCAAGGTTATTTCAAGGACATATCAAGGTTATGTCAAGGACATATGAAAGTTATGTCAAGGACATATCAAGGTTATTTCAAGGACATATCAAGGTTATGTCAAGGACATATGAAAGTTATGTCAAGGACATATCAAGGTTATGTTAAGGACATATCAAGGTCAACATATGAAATTTTTATGCAAGGTTTACAGTGAAGATTAACAAAGTACGTAAATGAATTTAAGTAATTCTGTGTCCGAACACAGTTCAACGAATGATTCACGAAGCAAATCCGCAGATTGCATTTTCGCAAAGAAAAAAGTTACTTCAAATGACCTCATCTACCCCTCATTTTCGGCTGTTAAAATAATTGTGGAACACCCTGTATACTATATATACTATATATACTATATACTATACTATAAACAAAACATGTGTACTATTAGAATTACGTATAACGTAACGATGATTTCTTGTGGCAGAAAGAGACTTTCAAATGGACATACCAAGTATTCAAAATTTCCTGTAATTCTGATCCTCTATAATTACTACTGTCGGACCCAACATTTTTCAATATTTTACTGGATCGAATAAAGAACAGTGAAATACGAAAAAGATGAGCTCATCATCTGAAACAAAAGCTTCTTGAATTTGAATCTGAGAATCGCGGCTGTTAACTGTTTACCTATCGGTAGCTTATCAATTGGATTCTTAATGATTACGTGACGTTAGAATGGAGCTTGCAATAAATCTTGTTGAAATAAGTAATCTTGAAAGAAATTTGTAGATTCTTTTATCGATGATACATTGCCGGTTCACGTTGAAAATCATTATTGTTATTAAATGTTATATTATAAATATTCTAAATTAAATTATATTAAATTATATTATAAATTTTGTTATAAATCGTTGTACAACTACCGGTAGGTAATGTGTTAACGTATAATTGCATTGTATTACCATTGAGAAACCTTCGTAGCATGGAACAAATAAACCAGCCAGATTAAATTGTACTTCTGACACACTTTTCATCAAAACGAACAATAACATTTTTTGCGACTTCGGTGGCATACAGTACCACAACGTATTGTATCTGTTTTATTGAACACCGACATTTTATTAATTGATTGTTATGTATGTTTCAACACTGATCTTAATCTAAACCAGAGCTGAGTAAAATAGCATTTCAAATGGCAAATAATAAATAAATATTTTATTTTGAATCATTCGTGTGCTTGTGAAAATAACATATTTTGTTTGTTCGAAAGAATGTACTTTTGAAAATAAAATATTTTATTCGTAATAAGAAATTTTTAAGATAACATTTCAAATTGTAGTTTATTTGAGTAACACTGAAAATATTTGCACCACTGTTCCGAACATTTTATCTATTTGATTTATAATTTGATTTTACCAAATCACAGCGTAAAATTTATTTCGGTCATTTAAAACGAACGAATTACTTTCCCTCTGCATTATAAACGTATTAAAAAAGACAATTAATTTCATTCGTTTTACGTTTTATGTTATTGAAATAAAAGTTATTTTATTTTACGTTTTAGATTATCAAGATGAAATATTTATTTTCATGATTTACACATTATCGAAATCAAATATTTTATCTACTGAAATTTTATGTCCTGCTCGAAGTGCTATTTTATTTGAATTGTGAAACATCGATTATTTAAAATAATAGTATTTAAAATATTTTCTCTATAAATATTACCCAGCTCTGATCTAAACGAACTCTTGACGAAAAAAGATTCGCTTATGATCGCGCATAACACTTCAATTTACCACCGCATCAATTTGGTGTTATTCTCGCCACCGATCGATGCAGAAACATTTGCTCAATAAAAATACGAACTCACGTTTGATTGAAAAAATCAATACTAGTGGTAATCAGTTTCTGACCACTGTAATTATTTAGGAACATGATTATAACGTGCGATGCAACGAGGTTCCAAGAAAACGCCAAGTTTTCCACGTCGTCGAGCTGTTTGGTGGCTAAGAGAAACTGTCACATGCAAAAGAACAGTTTTACGTTACACTTCCATCGACAGGCAGAAATTAGCACGTCGCAATTAACTATCGTATCCTTCTTACTCACTTCTATCAGGTAGCGGAAAAAGCTCGTGCGAATTTAAAGTATAAATTTCAATTTATTCTAATATTACCGTTTCGCAAGAATCTATAAATTTATGCAGGGTGTCCCAGAAATGTCTTGCAATCCGGAAATGAGGGATTCCTGAGGTCATTCGAAGTAACTTTTGCCTTAGCTAAAATGCAATCCGCGGCTTTGTTTACGAGTTATTAACGAAAAACACTGACCAATGAGAGATCGCGTACGGCTGACGCCACGCCCTCGCGGCTACTGCCACTGCGTCAGGCGGCCAACGCGACGCGGCATTGGCCTCAAGGGCGGAGCGCCAGCCGAGCTCGTCTCTTATTGGCCACTGATCGCTAAAAAATTTATTGCCTTCCTTAAATTGTTTCAGGTATTTTTATCATTCCAGAATTGTAAATTAATCTCTAGACTTATTTTCGTATGATTAGATGATGAGATGATTTACTGATATTTACTTTATTTTATTTCATAAAAAAATTAGAATTTAACAATGAATTAAAGCTATTCTTTTTTTAGTTTAGGGTGTCTGCGACATACACGGGTGTAATAACATTTGTTATTGATGCACGAAAAATTCATCCAAAACATTGTTTTTCGTATCGTTCGCATCTTTTGCAATATTTTAGTGCGTTTCTTTACTCCGAGCACGTACAGTGGCCCACAAAAGTGTTCGTACACCGTTAAAAACACCTCAAAATAATTTTTTTTTAAATGATAGAAATACCAAGCAGAATAACCAATCAGTATAATCTTGATTTACTGGTCCAGAATGCATACTTTACGCAGAGAAAGTGCAAATACTTTTATACGTATATTTATAATATTTTTTATAATATATATAATATATAATATTTTTAATAATAAATAATAATAATAATTATATATTATTATTTATAATAATAAATAAATAAATAATAATATATAATATTTTTATTTTTAATATTTTAGTACGCTCGAATTGCGGACCAGTAAAAGGGATTGGAATACCACACGAACTCTTTCCGATACGTAATAATCATGCTTACACGGTATAAATTGACGGCGAACGAGACGACAACCGTTACGATCGCTACTAAATACGAGAGCATCATGTTTTTCGTGAGTATCGCTGCCAGCCTTCGTTCAGGAATTTATTATATTTCAGCGTGTGGACCATCGACAGACGCAGAGCAAATAAGATACGTAATCAAAATACATATAATGAAATATATACCACTGTTACTGATATATGTATCTGAATGTAGATACCAACTCAAGAGCCCGTTGATGCACTTCGATGGCTGATTGTATGTCTATTAGCTCCAACGTAACCGAGTTCACCATCTTGTTCACTGCACCTCGTATTCGGTAACTGAAACAAAGAACAATATACAGGGTGACCCGAAATTATTGTACGAGCGGCAAATGAGGGGTTCCCGAGGTCATTTGAAGTAACATTTTCCTTGGCGAAAATGCAACTCGCGGCTTCGTTTACGTGTTATTAATTAGTAAATCATTAACTGGATATCTTTGACATACTTTGGACCATATTTATTCATTATACGTAGCAAGTAACTTATTTACATTCTTAACTACGCATGAAATGTTAAAGACAACGTCAAAGAAGGTATGTACATGTGTCGTTCGAAAGAAAATATCAGTGGAATTATGCTATTCGGACTATGCTTTTGACTGACATTCGGAGAAGAGATGTCTCTATTTGGCGACATTTGAGCCGTTTATTTTGAAAGTGGCATAAGTCATTAACTCGATGTTTTTGAAAAAGTGACTTATGCCACTTTCAAAATAAACGGCTCATTTGCAGAGATGATGTCTCTGTTTGACGACATTTGGAGAAGAGACGCCTCGATTCGACGACATTCGGAGGACAGATGCCACGATTCGACGGTCACGTACCTAGTACAGTGAATTCTCCCCAATTTTTCCTCAGATTGCATACAAAAATGGACAATTTGGGAAGAGGAGTGATGATTATTCGAGTTGTCGATTGTCAATAATTATAAAAATGGCGCAAGACTCGAATAATCGTACCTCCTCTTCCCAAATTCTCCATTTTTGTCTGCAAAGAAGATTAGGAAGAATTTACTGTAATTCCGTTTTCCACAAATGGCTGAAGTCAAAGTGGTAATATAGACATTGATCACATCGATTTATTCTCTGAATATCATGGTCTCGTATAGTCCAAACGAAGGGAACAAATAGTGAACGAAAAAAAATCGAAAAAATTGACTCAATTGTACCTGGCAATGTCGAACAGTCCACAGAAATAGGCGCTGAAAACAGCGAGTGACGATTCCGTACCTGCTAACGTAATCTGACCCATCACACTCACTAGCACCAGGTGAACACACACCCTGTCGGTTTGCTGACCCCCCTCGGTATAAAAAAATCCGAACATGTGCAGATAATGAAGTTGAAGTTTCGAGCGCAGCAGCGTAGGCAGTAGTATGGACACAGTCACGTAGGCTGCTACTAAGCATGACATCACTGGAATTCGAAATATTGCCATTTTAGTGTTGTTCTCACGCAAGAACGATTGCTATT